TGTTTCTGTACTGGATACATTCCTGCTGCTATTCAGCTCCTGAGAGGTCTGCTTAATTCCTGCTCCCAGTTCCTGGGATCCGCATAAGCTGATTCAGGGTCTTGATATTTGGCCGCACAAACGCTGGTGCTCAACACCAGGGGGCGTGTGGTTACCCTGCACCAGACCCTGCTAATCCACCTCCACACTGTGACTCCTACTTATCATCAGGCATACTGGGTCCCGGTCCTCACACCGCCGCCCGGACAGTGTCTGGGTCCCAGGCACTGGACCGCCTCTCTGACAGGTACAATGAAACTGCTGAAAATGATCTGATCCAATAGACTTAGTTACTATTATTAAGAATTCTCCTCACAATTTTAATTGTTAATTAAATTCAATGCTAAAATACACTCCTACCAAAAGGGGATCCGTTCAAAATACAAAGAACCAGTGGGGGTTGGTACAGAAATAGGAGAGTTTGAAACAAAAGAACAGAGTCTGAGTTATGTATTTGGGTAGGAGGGGACAATAGAGCAGGGGGGGAGTGCAAATACCAGCTATACCAGTTTTAGCTTGGGAGGAAGAGTGGGGGAGTGGCTACACCAGCAGCACCTCCTCTGGCTCTGGAGGATGAATGGAGGGGGGGGGTGGCAAAGGGAGCTCAGGTTCAGGGGGAGTGTCCAATATGGGTGGAGTTGCAGCCTTCATGGACAGGCGCGTCCTAGCCACCATGAGGCGACATTGTTCCTCATGGCATAGTTTAATCCACTTAGGCAGTTTTTCAACTATCTGCTTCCAGCTATCACTATATGGAAACTGATAGTTACAGCCACATGTACACGCTGCACTAAATTTAGGTCAAGACTGCCACATGGAGGCCATGCGGCTACCAGGACAGGCCATTCCTTACTACACAGTGTAGTCAAATGTTTTGGGGACAGCTTTGCACCATAATCGCAAGCAGCATATCCCTTAGATATTTTTTTTTTTAAACATACAAGACAAAGGACCAACAGTTTGTGAATCAGAAGCACCCATGATTTCAACAGAGTGTCTGATTAAAAGCTGTACAAATATACAAACAGTTTCAACAGTCACACCAATCTCCTTATCACCAGCACCACATGGCACAATTACTAGGCCCAAACACACATGTGCACGCACACACAGGATCCTCACACACTCAACAATATCACGATGTCTCACACAGTGGCGTACACATGACCCATGGGGCCCCGGTGCGAAAATTGATCCGTGGCCCCCCCCCGCGCGCTTACTCGGCACGGGTCGGGGCCGCACCACATGGCGGCGGGCACCTGGTCGCAGGGCTGCGACCCCGCGACCGCAGTATGCACACACACTTAAAGGACCACTACAGACACCCAGATCACATCAGCTCAATTAAGTGGTCTGGGTGCCAGGTCCCTCTAGTTTTAACCCTGCAGCTGAAAACATAGCCGTTTCAGAGAAACGGCTATGTTTCACTGAGGGTTAATCCAGCCTCTGGTGGCTGTCTCATTGACAGCTGCTAGAGGAGCTTCCGCGATTCTGACTGTGAAAATCACAGTGAGAAGACACTAAACGTCCATAGGAAAGCATTGAGTAATGCTTTCCTATGGGCGGTTTAAATGCGCGCGCGCCTCTTGCCGCGCATGTGCATTCGGAGCTGAGAGGCGGAGGGATCCCCAGCGCCAAGGGAGTCCGACGCTGGAGAAAGGTAACTGCTGAAGACACACACACTCTCACGAACAGACGCATACACACTAGCTAACAGACACACACATTTACTGACAGAGACACACTCAGCGACAGACATACATACACACTCACAAAACATACACTTTCACTGACAAACACACACTCAGTAACAGACACACACAGTAACACACTCACTAGCAGACACACACCCAATAACAGACACACTCACTGACACACACAAACACAAACACTAATACACACACTAACACACACAAACACTAACACACACTAACACACTAACACACACACACTAACACACACACAAACACATACTAACAGACATACTAACACACACACACACATTTTTTTTTAAATTTAATCCCCCCAGCCTCCTTACCTTTTGGAGTGCTGCGGGGATTCCTTGGGGTCCAGTGGTGCTGCTGGGCGGGCTGGCTGTCTGGGCTCCTATCTCTCCAACCCCCTTAACAACAAAAGCCACACTCCCTGTGTTCTCCTCACCTCCCCTTCTCCTCACCCCCACTCCCTGTGTTATTCTCACTTCCCCAGTGCTCTTCTCACCTCCCCCCTCCCTGTGTTCTCCTCACCTCCCCTTCTCCTCACCTCCTCTACCGTGTTCTTCTCACCCCACACCCTCCCTGTGTTCTTCTCACCACCCCCTCCCTGTGTCTTCTCACCTCCCCCTTCCCTGTGTTCTCCTCACCTCCCCTTCTCCTCACCCCCTCTCCCTGTGGTACATTCTCACTCCCCAGTGAGTTCTTCTCACCTTCCCCTCCCATGCTACTCACCTCCCCCCACTCCCCATGTTCTCCCTCACCTCCCCCTTCTCCTCACCCCTCCTGTGTTATTCTCACTCCTGATTTCTTCCTCTCTCCCGTGTTCTCCTCACCTCCCCACACCTCCCATGTTCTCTCCCTCTTTACCTCCCGTGTTCTTCTTACTCCCACCTGCGTTTGCTTCTTGCCACCTCCTCTTCTTCTTGCTCCTCCCTCTTCTTCTTCTTACTCCCTCCCTCTTCTTCGCTCCCTCCTCTTCTTCTTTCCTTTACTCCCCTCCCCTCTTCTTACTCCCCTCCCTCTTTTCCACCCCTGTTTTCTTCCTAGCTCCCCTCCCCTCTTCTTTTTACTCCCCCTCCTTGTTTCTTCTCCTCCCCCACCCTCTTCTTCTTACTCCCCTCCTCTTCTTCTTGCTCCCCTCCCTCTTCTTCTTCTTGCCTCCCTCCCTCTTCTTCTGCTCCCCTCCTCTTCTTCTTACTCCCCTCCCCTCTTTTCTTGCCTGGCGTTTTCTTCCTAACTCCCCTCCCCTCTTCTTTGCTTTGCTCCCCCTCCTTGTTTCTTCTTACTCCCCCCACCCTCTTCTTCTTACACCCCCTCTTCTTCGCCTCCCTCCTCTTCTTCTTGCTCCCCTCCCTCTTCTTCTTACTCCCCTCCTCTTTCTTGCCTGTTTTCTTCTAACTCCCCTCCCCTCTTCTTTTGCCACACACTGCCTTGTTTCTTCTTGCTCCCCACACCCTCTTCTTCTTCTCCCTCCTCTTCTTCTTACTCCCTCCCCTCTTCTTCTTACTCCCTCCCCTCTTCTTCTTCTTACTCCCCCCCCCCGTGTTCTCTTCCTAACCTTACCTCCCCTTCCCTGTAGCGTGAACGAGCTCCTCTCTGGTCCGCGGTACAGGAGTTTCTGTTTCCTGTACCCGGCTGGACTGACAGGAAGTCCACACTGAGTGTGCACTTCCTATCAGTCCGGCCGGGTCGCGGAGAGGAGCTCTGCCACGCTACAGGGAAGGAGAGGTGAGGCAATGGGGCAGCCATCTGAGCGCTCTCTATAGAGTGCTCATGCGGCTCCAGCATTTAAAGGGCCGGCAGGCATGATGTTACTTCCTGCAGAACCAGTCACACAGAGCTGCCCTGATCAGTGTTACAGGCAGCATACTCCGTGTGGTTGTGCTGATCTGGTGGCAGAGGTTCTGCTCCTGGAGCCTCTGCCGATTTCCTTCAGCCACACAGACAGGCACACTGAAGGGCAGGCTAATGGGGTCTTTGGGAATACCCCTTAGCTGTCCCTCAGTGTGTTCTGCATGGGGGAGCAGATTTCTAGCAGTAGGGGCCTGTGGAAGGCTGCGCGGCCCCCTTACTGAGTGCAAGCTGGCTGGGTAGCTTGTTTAACTTCCCAGCTCAACCATCACTTACTGCAGCAGGGATGGGCCCCCCAGAGCATCGTGCCCTATTTGCCCAAGTGCTCAGTCCGCCCCTGTATGCAGGAAGTTTAGGGAATCCAAGAAAGGGGAGGATTCCCATGCGGAGTTAGCTCGCCGTTTAACACAGGCAGCCAAAAAACTGGATGCACTCCCAAAATGTCAAGTCCCCGTAAGAAATCCTCCAACTGTTCCTGCTGGAGCTGTTTTATAATGGCCTGTCCACAGAGGTGCAAGAATGGGTGAGAGACCGACAACCAAAGTACCTGATGGAAGCAGCTCAGTGGGCCAATGAGTATGTGGATGCCCGCCATCCCTAACATCCTGCTGCCGTTCCCAGCTACAGACCTCTTCGGCACCCTACACCACCATTGGCCCCGAATGCAGCCCTCTCACTCAAGGGTCCACCGGCCCCAGTACCAACCCAGAGGGCTCCCAACCGGGCAACCATCCAGTTCCATCAATGCCACCAGTTTGGCCACGAGGAGGGATTGCACTCAGCTGAGGGACCGGTCCCAGAGGATCCGCCCGGGGGCCCCTCCTGCACCACGAGCAGCAGCTTACTGTTATCAGGTCCCCACATACTCTCCAAACCCCAACGAGAAAGCTTGGACCTTCTTGCACAAGGCAGATCCCGTCCAAGCCACAGCAGACAACGGGGATCATCACAGGCAGCCGGCCCAGTTGAACAGGCGCACCGTGCAGGGTCTGCGAGACACCGGAGCTACACTGACCCTAGTGCAGCACCAGCCGGTCACAAAGGTGGAAAAGACCGCGGGGCCAGTCACCGTCCGGGTAGTAGGGGGAGCCGTGCACCGCCTGCCTACTGCCCACGTTCATCTCGTCTTGCTCAGGAACCACATACTGGCCAATGTGCTACTGGGCAACGACCTGGACCAGCTAACCTCCACATATGTGCTCACGGATGACCCCAAGGAGGCATACCCGGTGATGACCCAACAACGAGCTCGCACCACCCAGGACAGCTTACACTCTGAGGTTCGGGTAGGCCCCCATAACCTTTCCCTTGCCCTGGTCCCCTTGCCATGGGATACCCTGCCGAGTTTGGAGTAATTTCCAACCCTATACTCCAGAAGTATAGAGATAGGGTGGCCACTAGTCAGGCAGGGCTGGAAGGAGAGAAGTTTATCTGAGAGAAGGGATTGTTATACTGCATAGTGGAGCGGGTAGGTTCAGGTACAGCTCCTAGCTGCTGGTAGTACCCAGGAAATATAAACATGAGCTACTGAAGATAGCTCACGATATTCCCCTTGCAAGGCATTTGGGATGGAGTGAGTTGCACCGACTCACCCAAAGCTTCTTCTGGCCAGGCATCTCCAAGGACCTTGTGATGTCTGTCAGAAAGTGGGGAAGCAGGGCGACCGGCACAAGTCCAAGCTCCATCCCCTCCCCATTATTGCAGACCCCTACGGCAGAGTGGCTATCGACATTATAGGTCCCCTAGCTAAGCTTAGCCCCTCTGGGAAGAAATACATTCTGACCATTGTGGACTACGCTACTCGGTACCCCGAGGCAGTCGCCCTGAACAATATTCAGGCACAGACTGTAGCCGAGGCCCTGATGTGAGTGTTCTTCCGGTTGGGTTTTCCCCGGGAGATAGTCTCAGATCAGGGCACCCAGTTTACTGCTGAGATGACTCACCAACTGTGGAAGTTATGACACATTAAAACGATCCTGATACCACCCCCAGACCAATGGCCTGTGCGAGCACTTCAATGGCACATTGAAGCAGATGCTCCGTACCTTTGCAGCGACCCGCAAGGATTGGGAAAGATATCTCCTGTTCGCATACCTGGAGGTGCCCCAGGCATCCACAGGATTCTCTCCATTTAAATTGTTATTCGGGCGGAGAGTTAGAGGGCCCCTAGACTTTGTCCGAGAGCACTGGGGGGAAAATGGGGATCAGGAAGGGACCCCATAATGCCTTATGTGCTGGAGCTGCGGGACTGACGGAAGGAACTCACACATCTGATACGGGAGAACCTCCAAGCGGCACAGGAGTGTCAGCGCACTTGTATGACCGGGGAGCCAGGAGCCGTAGCAGTGCGGTATCTCTGGATTGAAGGGGATGTTCCAGAGCATGGTGGACAAGGCGCTCTGTTAGGTTACCTGAAGAGGAAAAATAGGGGGCATCCAAAGGGAATGATTGTAGTCCTTTCTAGGGAATTTTGTATGGATTTGGCAAACCCGCCACATAGAGCTTACAAAAAGAGGATGTCTGGAAAAGTGAAAAAAGAAATGTCTACACCTCATAGTCATCAAGTGTTTGTACCGGCAGAGAAAGAATAATAACTCGATCTAACTGTAGCACCAGAGAGACATTGTCACCAATTGATGATGCAACCTGTCAATAATAGACAACAAAAGTGCGTGGTAACAAATGGAAATGTTGCTGTTTATTGACAAAATGTGTTACCAAGAACAATATATATATTTATATTTATTTTGTCTCATATTCAAGTATTTCTAGAAAACAAGTATAATTACAGTATTGCACATTTAACATGTGACATATGCAATATAATTGCATTCATATCCATAATGAAATATTCAGACTGGATGGTTTATGATGTCTCCAGAACTTCTCACAAGCACTATTTTCCTATGAAACACACTTTACCATTATATAGCCTCTTACATATGCCTTAATATCTATCTATCTAATCTTTGAAATGACCCACACAAGTACTAGATGAGTGGAGATACATTATTGGCTAACACTATCCAAAATGTATGCTTATTCTTACATACAAACACAGAAAATCATCCAAGCTGTTATTATGAACATCAGTGAATTTTGAATTCTTTCTTGGGCCTTGGAGATTGTACTATGGTTTAGCTTTACGTTTCGCAGGTCTAAACGACAGTTGTAGTTTAATTCAGTAGCTGGAATTTCATTCTCGCTTGGTTTTTGTGATGTCTGTTCATCTCTTATCTGCAATAGAAAGTAAAATGTTATATTATGAGTAAAGAAAATATTCTACGGTGTTCAAATTAAATAAAATAATGAGTGCTTTGGAAAATAGGATGTTTGTCTTTACGTATCACAATGCTCTATATGTATGGATAGTTCCTCTCTTAAAGGACAACTGTCACCTCAAAACAATTGTTTACTATAATAATCATTTTATTCATTTTGAAATGAAATAGATTTGTTAAAATTAAGTATATGTAAAAATTGTTTTTAGAAAAAATTAATCCCTACCTTTAGTATATGACAGGAGCCTTCCATTTACATGCACCACAGAGACTGTCTATTTTCAAACACTTTCTGACCCAAGTTGCATGTATATGGCTGAAGGATTCGGTCATATACTAAAGGTTTTTAAAGTTACTAAGGGTGTACATTTAAAAACAAATTATTTATTTTCAAAACTTTTCCCATTTTTTTTTTTTATTGAAAAAATTGTTAATTTGAACAACATATAGACAAAAAGTAAAAACTAAAAAAGTTGACAGCAATATCCCAACACAATTGGGAAAAAATTATTAAAGCAGAGTATCAAGTATATAATTTTGTTTTCTTTTTCCCAACAAACTAACAACAAATATACAGACATATCAGTACAAACTTACAAATCTAGATCACGGCCAGTCCAAAATGGAAGGCTTTTCACCTCAAATGTCAAAATCCAGTATTTATGTTTTAGCTGGTTACTTCAAATACTTTCAGCCATTTAGTATAATGATCTTACTTGTTTAAGGAGTATAGGGAGGAGCCATTTACATTTTTTTCCATACGAAGTTGATATGTAAATTGATCTATTAAGAGCTTCCTTTGGAAAGAAAGATTTGATTTCAATTGTCTAGATATGCTAACTTTAGTTGCTAAAAGGCAATGTATAGCAAGGTATTTTATAGGGGTGGAAGTTAAAGCCCAGTTTAAATGTAATAGGGCCATATCAGGTGCTCTTTTTAAGTATAATTTAGTTAGAGATTTAAATAAGTCGTAGGCCCGGGACCATAGAGATTTACCACCATACCACCATATGTGTAGGAAGGATCAATCCAAACATCCGCACCGCCAACAGTGTGGGTTTTGATTTGGATACATCCTAGAGACCCTGTACGGCGTCAAGTACCATTTGTACTGACATTCTATTAGGTTCAAGCAATAAATATGTTTCCATATATCTTTAAGTGTACAACACCATTCGTTTTCACTTATTTCCACTTCTAACTCTTTTTTTCCCCCATTTATCTGTAGAGGTTTTTGATCAGAGGAGTATTATATTGGTTGCTTTGGAAGTAATTCTTTTGACTTTACTATAGTTGAAAATTGATTCTACTAGGGTTTCAACTTTAGATGTATTTCTTAATGAAGCCTTATTTAAGAAGTTCTTAATTCTCAGATACGTAAAAAGTTCTTTATTTGGCAAATGTAATTTAGCCTTAATTTCAACAAAGGGTAATAATTGATCTGTTTGCAGGATATCATTGATGCACCATTGGTGTTTAGACCAGTTATTTAAAGAGATATCTTGCATATTATCTTCTAAAGCGACCGAATTACATGTTTTAATTATTTTGTGGAAGATTTCAGTAGTTTTTTTAATATATCCCAAGCTCGAATAGTTTGTGATAATATTAAAGATTTATTATTTAGTTGATCTGTAACTTCACCACTATTAAGCCATAAATATACTTCTAAGCTATCTCTTCCGACCGCTTAAGATTCTTTATATACCACATATCTTTTTTAAAAGCTTCAGCTTGTAACTTATACACGTGCCAAATAATGTTAGAAAAATAATTTCTTATACCCGGGTAATTCAGACCCCCTTGCTTTTTTTTCTTCTTTGGAGCTTATTCTAGGTTTCTTGCTTTTCCATGTGTATGTCTAAAAACTGGATTGGATCATGGTTAACCAACTATCTTGGATTTGAAGGGGTAACATTCTAAACAGATTTGACCATTTTGGCATAATGTAGGTGTTTATTGTGTTAATCCTACCTGACCAAGAAGATTCTAATGAACGCCATTCTTTTAACTTTATATTAGTGTATTTTAAAAGACTTAAAACATTTATTTCCATAGTGGTCTTAATCTGTATCGGAATTGTCACACTCAAATAGTTAAAGTCAACATTTGACCACGCAAAGTTATACTTTCTTTGAGATCTTTAAAGCAATAATTTTTTACATTATTAATTAAAGCAATTGATTTAGATACATTTAGCTTGTAGTTTGATACTTCACTATATTTATTTATTTTCTGTAGTACATACAGTAGAGATAATTCTGGGGATGTAAGAGACAATAAAATATCGTCAGCATATAACAATATTTACGCTTCCAATTTGTTAGCTGGAAAGCCTTTGATTTTTTGATCTAATATTAATTTCTAACGGTTCTAGCATTAAAATATAGAGAAGAGGCGATAGGGGACAACCCTGACTCGTACCATTTTGTAAGTTAAACCAACATGCTAAAATATTTACCCCAACTGTTCTTGCCATGGGGTCAGTGTAAAGGGCCATAATGGCACCATGAATCCAGCCCACAAATCCAAAGGAAACCAAAACTGTGTCTAGGAATTCACAGCTGACCCTGTCAAATGCTTTCTCAGCATCTAGTGACAGGGTCAGCAATGGGATCTCCAGACATTCTGCTCTGTCCAGTATATCTAAAATTCTTCAAGTGTAACTTTCATAAGATCTTCCTGGTATAAAACCAACCTGGTCTGGATGGATAACTTTCTCAATGACAAATTTTAATCTGGATGTCAGGATTGCTGCATATTTTTTTTAAACTGTTTATTAATGAAATTGGTCTATAATTACGGACATCCCTTTCATTTTTGTTAGGTTTTAATATTGGTAAAAGGTAAGCTTGTAATAACTCTTTCGGTGTTTTGGCTTTATTGGCCATTTTATCATAAAGAGCGGTTAAAGGGAGAGCTATTTCTTTTTTCATGATTTTATAGAAATAGTTGCTGTATCCATCCAGACCAGTGGTCTTGAATAATTCCAGTCTGTCTATCTCTCTTTCTACTTCTTCAGATTTAATCTCAAAATTAGGCAAATTAAGATCATAAATAGAAATTTTTGGCATTTTTGTGTCAGACAGATAATTGTTTTTTCTTTGTATTGGTGTACTCCAAGGTTATACAAATTACTATAAAAATCATTAAATAAATGACCATTTTTTTCAGGAGAAGAATATATAATTTGATTGTCTAACAATTTATTTACCCTATTTTTCATTTTGTGTTTCTTTATTTTTTTTGTTAATTTTTTATTAGCTCTATTTTCCTGACATATGGTGGCAGTACAATAGGGATTAACTCTTCCCTCAGG